CTCAGGATCTTGGGCACGCACACACACGTGCCCAGCATGAGTTTAAGCCACCGGGTCCGGGACTCGAACCGCAGTCGACTATATGGGAGTCCAGCGATGTAGCCATTACGCTAACTGCTGGTCCCCCTAAGTTCTGCATTTATTTAAAGAATTATTTTATTCAGTTTTATTTATTATTTTATTTTAACCAGAGAGAGAGAGAGAGGGAAAGTGAGAAAGCGAGCTGCCAGGTCTGGGACTCAAACCACAGTCGACCCTGTGGGGGTCCAGCTCCTTAACCACCACACCACCTGCTGATCCCCAGATACTGCATTTTAACAGTCACACTTCTCCAAAGTAGTTTTGCTGCAGGACGTCCAGGGACCACTCATGGAGAGTACCTGCTAAGCAGTCATGATCTGAGATGACTTTGATGGGGCAGATCTGCAGATATTCAAACCTGGATTTAAAAAACAGGCAGGGCTCAGGCAGGGCAGGCACATCAGAGCCGCTCCGTCTTCCCAGGGCCCCCTGACTCCCAGCAAGCAGGCTCTGGTGTTGGGTAGGGTGGGCCACTCCTAAGCCTGTCCTTGCTTGTGTCCCTCCTAGTCCCAAAGATGCCTTCCGCGCACTGAAGAAGAGGATCGTGGGGAATAAGAACTTCCACGAGGTGATGCTGGCCCTCACGGTAAGTGCCCGCCTCTGCCCACGGAGAGCCCAGGCCCAGCAGGACTCCCGGCCACTCTCAAGTCCCTCATTTAAGGGCTGGGAGGGAAAGACCGTGCATAGCATGTCCTGCCTGGACTGCTGCTGGACAGGAGAGGCCCTCTAGAAAGGGCCTGCCCACCCCCTTAGCATGGGGACAGGAGCATGGAGGCCGTGTCCCCCAGGACCACTGGCACAGGGTCTGAGTCAAAGGACTGGCCGGTTGACACAGAAACTCAGTGTACCTAGGCCTCCAGTAGGGGAAATAGGGATCAGAGAGCCTGGCAGACCAAGTGGGTGCCACCTGACACCTGGACACCCTGAGAAATGAAGGTAAGACACATGCCGGTGGCTGAGAACAGCCACGCCCTCAGCACTGATCCAGTCCCGTCCCAGGAGGAGCTGGCACCAGCGGGCACCTTGGCTGTCATAGGGGCTTGGCAAGGGGTTGAGCAAGGACAGCACTGCGTCCAGCCCCCCCGACAGCAGCGTTTACATCAGCTGAATCCTCTTAACCAAAAGCAAAGGCAGCTCCTGCCAGGAGGTGGGAAGCAGAGAGGGGCGGGAAGTTTAGCGCCTCTCCTTGGGCTGCAGCTTTGCCAGCTGATAAGCAGCTCAGGTTCCCCTATTTCCTCTTGGAACACAGGCTTCCCCTCTAGGCTGTGTTCAGCTCAGAAATAGTGTCTAGGTTCTGTGGGCCTTGACGCCAGACAAGGAAAGAGTCCAGCCAGCACGGGCCTGCCTGCCGCCCATCCCAGAGCATGTGCTCAGGGAGACGAGTCCCTGCACCAGGCCTTGTGCTGGGTCTCCGTGTTCCGGGGTCTGGCTTTAGGAAGTCCTGCTGCTTCTGCCCTGCCTCCCCTCTGGGGCACAGGAGGAGCCCAAGGGTAGGGTCCCGGGCAGTGACTCTCCTTTGGTGAGTGCTCATAGGCTACTCACGTTCCTCCAGGTCTTGGAGACCTGCGTCAAGAACTGCGGGCACCGCTTCCACCTGCTGGTGGCCAGCCAGGACTTTGTAGAGGGTGTGCTGGTGAGGACCATCCTGCCCAAGAACAACCCGCCCACCATCGTGCACGACAAGGTGCTCACCCTCATCCAGGTGTGTGCGGGCGAGCAGGACGGCACAGTCATGGCGGTGCAGGGTCCCTTCCCACTGGAGAGCTGTCGGCCCAGGCTGCTTCTCATTGCTGAGTGGGTGTTGGGGAAAACTGTGCTTGCTGTGGGGATGGGCGGGGCAGATGGAGGAAGAGCACCAATGGGTCAGCACCCAGCTCTCTGTGGGTGCTGGGGTGGGAGGGTCACAGGGCAGAAGGTGAGCAGTGGTTACTGGCCGTGTCCCCTTGTCCCCTCTCAGTCCTGGGCTGACGCGTTCCGCAGCTCGCCAGATCTGACAGGGGTTGTCACCGTCTACGAGGACCTGCGGAGGAAAGGTCTGGAGTTCCCCATGACCGACCTGGACATGCTGTCACCCATCCACACACCCCAGAGGGTGAGGAGAACCCCTGTGTCAGGGCCAGGGGAGGGAGGGAAGCCGGAGTTACCCCAGGAGAGTCTGTGACTCCATCCTGCTGCCCCCAGATTCCCCAGAGGCCTTGCTGACTATCTTTTGCCCTTTAGACTGTGTTCACCTCAGAGACATCTTCAGGACAGAACTCCGTGAGCAGTGATGCCAGTCAGCAAGTAGACCCTAGCCAGCACACCAGCCCTCCGCCCGCCCCAGCCATGCTCGCTGGCGATACTGCCATCGTTCCAACCCCTGAGCAGGTAAACAGAGAAGCCTGGGGACAGGCCCACCTGGTCAAGGCAGGTGGGCCCGACCCATCTGCACACACACACAGGGAGGGCCCTGTCGGTATGGAGAGTTTGTGTGTGCAGCTTCTACTTCACCCTCACGGCAACCCACAGGCCACGTGTGACCCTTACTGAGTTGGAAGCCCAGCCAGGTCAGCTTGTTAAAGTCTAATCAGCGAGAAACAAGAGGACATCCAGACATAACCAAATTTATTGATTTATCGGAGTTTATTGATTAAACTGGTGGCATACGGGGGGGACTCATTTCTCTCAGCAACCTGCAGCCCCAAGTGGAAGGAGAGGGGTGCTTATATAGGCAAAATCACAATCAATTCTGGATTGATACGGTGATTATAATGGAAACTGAGAAGGGAGTGAAGAGGAAAGGGAGTTTGGTTCCTATGCAGAAGCAGTTCCAGAAGCTGAATCAAACGGGTTAATCATTTCTAAGGGCCCTCTCCAGACCTTTGTTTAATGGTCCCCATGGCTTTGGGAAGGGGTCTGGTGATTGGTGGTTACATTGCTGAGGAACAGCTAAACAAAAAGGTTTTGGGCTAGTTGGCAAAGACAGTAAGATTATTACTCACTCTATTTACTCCGGGAGAAAAGGAGGAAGGAAGAATAACATAAAGTTCTAAGATGGAGGTGCTTCTGCTTCAAGCTCCCTGGCTGGAGCACACCTCTGGGATGCTCGCCCACGGCTGTCGGGTTCCACACAGGCGCTGTCCCGTGCCCCAGCTCTTTTCCAGCTCTTTTCTCTGTGGAGCCCTCGGGCAGCACCATGGAGGCACCTGGTGGTGGCTTCCCAGCAGCCCCTTTGTGTGGTTTGTTTCCGTGCTCCCGTAGGCTCCTGTGTGCTGCGGCTCAGGCTGCCAGCAGCCCTAACATGTCTGTGTAAAAAAATAAAAGTGTATTTGCCTGGCACACTGCTGCTTCCCTGGGAGCCTCAAGAAGAAGGCTGGAGGCCTAGCCAGGTGGTGTCAGGAGAGAGGGTACCACTGCATGACACTGGAGCCACATGGGAGACCTGGGTTCAGATCCCATGTCCGCCTGAACACGTTGGGTGCACCCGTGAGCCTGTCCACTAGCAGCTCAGGGGTGGGGAGTGGTCTCAGCATGGCGAGACCCCGTCAGGGAACGTATGTGAGAGTGTCTCTCTCTCTCTCGTGAAAGAAATAAGTAAACTTACAAAAGAAAGAGGAGGAGGAAGGTGTTTGAGGCTTAGCACTAGAGTCTAGGAGCTAAGTTTTCCCAGCACCTGTGACCAGCTTTGAAAGATGGCCCACCTCACTCTCAGTGGCATACGTACTGGTCAGTCTCAGTGTCTCCCCAAGCCTCAGCTTCCTCCTCCTGAAGCTGGGGGTGGGGTGAGGGTGACTTACCACTCAGCCTGAGCTGTTCCAGGAGTGCCGAAGTGACTCTCCCTGCTGAGCGAGCACCCGGTCATTTCAGCCCTGGCTGCTGGGGCATGGCTTGAGGCCTGCATACAAGGGGTGAACAGTTCTACACCACAATCCCTTCTCCTCCATTCTCCTCTCGGGATCTTGGGCACACACATGCACACGTGCCCAGCATGAGTTTAAGCCACTGGGTCTGGGACTCGAACCGCGGTCGACTACGTGGGAGTCCAGCGACATAGCCATTACACTAACTGCTGGTCCCAAAATTTTCTCACTTGTTAAATTTAACTGATTTGCCTAAAGGCTGGCATCTGTGTGCATTAAGACTTCTGAGGGCCAGCACATGGCATAATGGTTATGTTGCTGGACTCCCACACAGTCAGCCTTGGTTTGAGTTCTAGACCTGGTGGCTTAAAACTCAGGCTCAGGGGACCAGCAGGTAGCGTGGTGGTTAAGGCACTGGACACTCCCACGTGGCCAACCGTGGTTCGAGTCTCAGACCTGGTGGCTTGCTTTCTCACTTTCCCTCTCTCTGTCTCTCTCTGTGTCTCTCTAGTCAAATTAAAATAACTAAGTGAATAAATAAATACTAATTTATTAATATTTATAATTCTTTAAAAAAACTTCAGGCTGGGCACATGCGTGCCCAAGATCCCGAGAGAAGAATGGAGGAGAAGGAATTGCTGCGTGGCCATCCCCTCGGGGTGGGGGATGATTTCTCACTCTCTGTCTCTCTGTCTCTGGCAAGCACATGTGCCCTATAGCAAAAATCTCTCTTAAAAAAAAGACTGGTTACTTCTAGTGCTGGCAGGTCCTTGATGACAAAGCCGAATTGTCTCTGTTTGGGTTTCCTATTGTCTCCGGGGACATGCTAAGGTGTCCAGGTGCAACCATCCAACTCCCAGATGCCTCTGTAATTAAGTCCCGTCTGACTTGCGAATGTTGGGATTGTGATCATTAGTTTCTCCCCTCGCTTACACCAAGGGCATTCATAAGTAGGCAGGGATGTCGCATGTTATGCAGGTTGTAGAGGTGGCAGTGCAGAAACGGGGCAGCAGGTAACCCTGTCTACCTGTGGAAAAGGGCAAATGGGCAATGTGGACTGAGTGCTTGGCACTCAGCAGGCTGGCAGTGGGTGGCGGCGTGCATCCTCATGAATGTAATAGAGACTCTCATATTCTAGAATCAACTCTGACTCCATCACACAGTTCGGAATCGAGCAGCATTTCCCAACGCGTTCTTCTCAGGAAGCTAGACCCATGTAGTTCATGATGAAAGGCTTCCTGAGTCAAATAAGTTTTGGATACTTTCATAGTGACCATTTCAGGGCATTCACTATGTACCCAACATGCATGAGGCTGTTTTTTTTGTTTTTTTGTTTTTGTTTTTGTTTTTTTTGTTTTTTTTTTTGTTTTTAAGAATTATTCTATTGGGACCAGCAGTTAGCATAATGGCTATGTCGCTGTACTCCCATGTAGTCGACTGCGGTTCATCTCCTGGACCTAGTGACTTAAAAAATTCACGCCAGGTGCATGCCCAAGATCCCAAGAGGAGAATGGAGGAGAAGGGATTGCGGCATGGCCATCCCCCCGGGAGGTGATTTCTTACTTTCTGTCTCTCTGTCTCTCTCTGTCTGTCTGGCAAGCGCACACGGCCTATAGCAAAAACCTCTCCAAAAGAAAAAGAATTATTCTATTTAGCTTTATTCAGTGTTGCTAACTGGATAGAATAATTAAAGGTGCGTAAAAAATTTATTTACTCATTTAATTTGACCAGAGACAGACAGTACAAAAGAGCAAGAGAAAGAGAGGAAAGTGAAAAAGCAAGCCACCAGGTCCAGGAATTGAACCATGATTGGCCGTGTGGGAATCCAGCACCCCCAACCACCACGCCACCTGCCAGCCCCAACCTAGGCCTCTTCTCACCTCGCCTCGTGGAGGAGACTGTGTGGCTGCATTGATAGTGTCTCCCCAAGCCCAGGACCTCAGAGCCCTTTGGTCATGGACAACCTGGTAACAGCCCGTGGAACAAGAGCTGAGTCTGAGATTCATACTCAGGACAGGGGGCAGGTCAGTTCTCCTTTGGTTGAACCGAGGACACCAGAGCAGACCAGGAGCAAGACAGAATCCCAACTGTCCTAGAAGGAGAGAGGGCATAATCCCAGTTCTCCTAGGAGAGAGAGGGCTGCAGCCTCCCTCCTGCTCTGGGCGAGCCACCCTCTGGGGCCTCGGTAGCTGTTGCTCTGGACCCGAGAGATGTCAGAGTGCTTCCAGCCACACCCGGTGGCTCGTTCTCCTCAGCTTGTCTCCTTTTGCCTCTCCCTGCAGCAGGGTCCCTGGTTTGGAGATGATGACGGTGGGTGGCACCTCCGGGGGGGTCTGTGCAGGGATGGCGCGAGCCCACCACGGGCCTCCTAGTGCAGGGCTGTGACTCGGGAGCCTAGAGAGGGTTCTGTGCAGGTCGACTGGTCGACTCTTCGGTGCTACTCCCAGGCTGGCAGGGCCTGGCTCTGTGTCCGGTGACAACCACTCCAGACCCTGGCTTCTCAGGCCAGCCACTGGTATGTTTCAGATTGGGAAGCTGCGCAGCGAGCTGGAGATGGTGAGCGGGAACGTGCGGGTGATGTCAGAGATGCTCACGGAGCTGGGGCCCACCCAGGCCGAGCCTGCAGACCTGGAGCTACTGCAGGTGAGCAGACCTACCCCGCCAGGCTCAGCCGCCCCGCCCCTGTGGCCGCTGGCTTGTTCGCCCACACCCTTCCTTCCCTGCCCACAGTGCAGTCCTCCCGGCTTGCTCTGAGCGCCTTGGTCAGTGGGAGCTGTGTGGACCAGGGACTTAGGACTCTTAGGTTAGAATTCAGAGCTCAGCTCTGCCACTTTCTGGTTTGACAGCTTAGCCCCTCTTGCCACAGTTTCCTCATCTCTGCGATTGCTTGGACAGCAGCCCTTACGGTACAGGTTTGATGTGAGAATTAAGACAGTCCTTGCAAGACATCCAGCCCTGTGCTGTTATAGAGTAAGCTCCCGATAAGTGGTCCTGAGGGGAAAAAAACCCGAAAGGGGGTGTTTCCACCTTGGAATTGAGCTTAGCCGCATCCGTGAGAGAGCAGCGCCGGCCTCGAGGTGGGTGAGCAGCTGGTCCCAGCGAGCCGAGGCCGGGGGAGCAGTCAGTTCTTGCTCCTGAGTGTCATGTGATGTCCCGTGGCCCCTGCCCCAGCCGGGGATGCTGCTACAGCAGAAACAGCTGTCTTCAGGGAAAGGCAGCCTCCTCAGCTTGTGCCACACAGACAGTCATAGAGACTCAAAAGCAGGGACCCCAAAGCTCAGGAGTCATTGGAACCCTGGAAGGAACCGAGCAATTTGCTGACCTCCTGCCAGGCCTGAAAGCCTTGAAGGCAGGGCTGTGTCATCCTCTTCCCGTGACCCATCTGTGCATCTCTGAGCTGGCTTGCTCAGGGTCCTTACCTTGTGGCTGGAGGTTGGGCTCTCAGGTAGGATCCTGAGTCGAATGAGCAGGTGAACTGGAAGACTAGATGGCGTCATGATGAGGGACAACAGTGGCTTGCACAGTGCAGTTAGTTTCATTTACCCAAGCCAAGGCTGTGCGGGCGTGAGCAGTTTGGGAGGCTGAGAAGGTTGGAGCTGATGGGGGAGTTTGACCAAGTGACAGCTCCCACACACTGGGCACCTCCCGTGTGCCAGGCTTTGTGCAGACACTTACAGACGTTCACGCACACAAGCCTCACGCCCCACCCCACTCTCCAGAGCAGGAACTGAGGCAGAGGAGGGCCTGCAAGCACCCAGGGTAATGTGGCTGGTCAGCAGCAGAGGCGAGCCCAGGGCCTGGCTCAAGTGCTGCCCTTCTGCCCCTGCGGCACCAATGAGGAAGCAGACACAAAGCCACTGCACGCTTAGTCATGGTGGCTGCAAGCAAGCCCACAGCGTGTTGAAATTACTCAGACCTGCCCTGCCCCTGTGCTGGAGGCTGGAGAGGAAATCCCAGAGGGCCCAGCCAGGAGGGGCTGGGGAACTGGACCCCCAAGAGAGCTGACGAAACACTAGGGCAGCGCCTCATCCAAATGAGGCCTCCAGGGGACAGGCTGGCACACGGTTGTGGTCAGCAGTGCCTGACGACCGTGTGGACCTCAGCCTTGTGGCCCAGGCTTCTGGTCACCTGTTGGCGGGTACCTGATGAGAGAAACAGCCTGACCAATCCTACCTGGAAGGCTGTGGATTTTCTTTTTTTTTTTCTTTCTTCCAAACAAGTTTAAATATGACACTTACTGATTATAAGTCAGCCAGCGACATGGTGACTAAATGCAGTGCGGACTCCTAGAACAGAAAAAGAACAGGGCCCAGCCACAGTGGCGCCCCATCATATGGAGTCACGTGCCGAGAGGAGGACTGCGGTGTGACGAGGTAGTGTCAGGGCCCCCGTGTCTGTCTGTCTGTCTCTGTCTCCCTCTCTCCCAGAAGAAAAAAGATAGATTAGTAGAAAAGCTGAAGAAAGCCTGTGTAGTTCATAGCATTGTGCTGATGTTCATTCTTAGTTTTGACAGATGTTAAACTACGGAGAAGCTGGCTCAGGATATATGAGAACTCTCTGTACTGTCCTTGCAACTTTTCTGTAAATCTAAAGGTATTCCAAAATAAAATTTTACTTAAAAAGAAAAAAAAAAACGCAGGGCCAGATGGCACGTCAGTAAAAGCCAGTGCCCTGTAAGGCAGGTCCACGTGGGAAGGGTCCAGGTCTGCACTCGGAGCTCTCCCTGAGTACAGCAGAGACACTGCGCTGGGACCCGGGCCGACTGGGAGTGGGTCACAGTATCGAGACTGTCCTGTGAGTTCTGTCTCCCATGTCTCTCTCTCTCTCATAGAAGAAAGATACAAGTTTTTTTTAACTTGCTATAGGGCAAGTACGCTTACCAGAGACAGAGAGAGAGAAAGTGAGAAATCATCCCCCATGGGGGATGGCCATGCCACAGTCCCTTCTCCATCCTCCTCTCAGTACATGTACACACGTACCTAAAGTGTTTTTCTTTTCCTTTAAAAAAAAAAAAAAAAGATTTTGCCATAGGGTACATGTACTTACCAGAGAGAGACAGACAGAAGAAAAGTGAGAAGTCACCCCCACCCCAGAGTGGAGGCCATGCAGCAATCCTGTCCCCTCCATTTTCCTTTTGGGACTTTGGGCACACACACATGTGCCCAGCATGACTTTGAAGCCTCTGGGTTTGGGACTTAAACTGTGGTTGGCTATGTGAGAATCCAGCACCTTAACTATCATGCCACCTCCTGGCCCCACCTTGCTTGTTCTTCAAGCCAGAGTCTGGGACTTGAACCACACAGTGGGATCTAGCCACCTTAACCACCATGCCACCTGGCTAGCCAGTAGTAATAAACTTTAATTTTCTTTTTGAGAGGTTTTTGCTATAGGGCGCATGCACTCGCCAGAAAGACAGAGAGACAGAAAGCGAGAAATCACTCTCCAGGGGGGATGGCCACACCTCAATCCCTTCTCCTCCATTCTCCTCTCAGGATCTTGGGCACGCACACATATGCGCCCGGCGTGAGTTTAATCCACCAGGTACAGGACTCCAACCACAGTAGACTACATGGGAGTCCAGTGACATAGCCATTAAGCCAACTGCTGGCCCCAACTTTAATTTTTTTTAATTAAAAAAAAAATTAGAAGCCAGCAGGTGGCATGGTGGTTAATGCCCTAGACTCCCACGTAGCAGGCCGCAGGTTGAACCTCAGATCTGGCAGCTTGAAAATCACACTGGGCATGTGTGCGTGCATGCCTAAAATCCATGCATGCCATGGCCATCCCTGCTGGGGGATGATTTTTCACTTTCCCTCTCTCTGTCTCTCTCCGGTAAGCACATGAGCCCTGTGGCAAACACCTTAAAAAATTAGAATAATGAGGCAAAAAGTACAAATCGGGGTTTGTGGATAATAGGTTTTCATTTTTCATGGTTTCAAAATAAAAGCCCAGTACACTCAGAAGTCGTTTCAGCCACCCACCTTGCAGACCCAGTTCCTTCAGCTGAGCAGGCACGGTGGCAGAGACATAGCCTGAAGTCTGCACAAAGCCAATTTGAACTTGCAGTGCAGTTTATATGTTGGTGATTTCTGGTGTGTTCCATTTTCTGGTGAACACTTGGAAGCAAAACTCAGATTCTTGTCTGTAGAACCCGAAGGCTGTTTCTGTGGTACCTGGAAGTCCCATTTGGAGGGTTTGGAAACCTCTCTCGTCTGAGCTGCCTGGAGCTGCCCAGCATCTCAGAGATGCCTCATTCTGGGTCCCGTGGCCATGGGTGTCTCACCTCTTTCCACAGGAGCTCAACCGGACATGCCGAGCTATGCAGCAGCGGGTGCTGGAGCTCATCCCGCGGATCGCCAACGAGCAGCTGACCGAGGAGCTGCTCATCATCAACGACAATCTCAACAATGTGTTCCTGCGCCACGAACGGTAGGCCTCCTCCCCGGCCTGCTCCCTTCCTTCCTCTGGTTCTCCTGGCCTTCTCACACCGACACCCTCAGGCCAGCAGGCCTTTGTGGGCGTTTTTCTGAGCTGCCTCTCCCAGCGTGCACACCCTCTCTGTCCGTCCGGCTGCATCTGCTTTGCAGAGTCAGCCCTGGGTGCAGCAGCAAGTGGTGACTGAGAGCAAGCCCTGCACACTCCTCCACTGCTTGGCTCTGGGATGAGTGACTTCGCTCAGGTATTTTGACTGCAGCTACGCTAAGCACTTCTGCCTAATGCAGGCAGCAAACAGACTTATTAGGAGAATGGCCATTATTTAACAGATAGCTTTCAGAGTTCAAAGGAGCATGAAACAATGAAATCTCCTCCCCACAGAACAGGAAGGACAGATCCCTGGGAAGCTCAGAGATTTTAGGGGCAGAAACTCCTAGACTGTGAGCCGACGGGTGGCATGGTGATTGAACTCCCACATGGCTGACCATGGTTCAAGTCCCGAACCTGGTGGCTTTCTCTCTCTCTTTCTCTCTCTCTCTCTTTCTCTTATTCTTATTCTCTCTAGTCAAATTAAAATAAATAAAT